CTGGGGGGGGGGGTGTGGCTAGGGGGGTTGTTGACAACGACGCTGGGCTACAAGATGGCGCACATCCTCTGCAGGGAGTCTTCCGGGACAAACCTCAGAACGTCGTTGTGAAGGTCGACCGGCTGGAGCAGATCAAGAAGACCTTCATGCAGGTGAGAGGCTTGAGAAAGGTGAAGGGGAAGGCGGTTCATGCAGGTGAGCGGGGGATAAGTGGTGACTCTGCAAACCAGACAGTGGCTACAGCAGAGTTTCTTTTGAAGAGGGTGGTGGTAGGAGAAGGACCGCAGGTGGGTGAGCGAGGAGGGAGAGTGAGGAAGGCAGGTTGTTCATTGTGGCCTTCCCACCCCACCCCCCTAACCCCCTTTTGCATCCCATTTCGCCCCTGCATTCTGTCCCTACAGGTCCAGGGCAAGGACCGCAAGCGGGTCAGAGAGATAGCGGGGCAGCTGGGCATGGAGGGGCGGTACAGCCCGCGGCTGTACATCGAGGAGATTCAGCTGCACAACCTCACAGAGGAAGTGCAGGCCTTGTCAGCAGAGAGTGTGCTCAAGGAGCGGTTCCGAGTCTCGGATCACCTGCTGCCGTCTGGGAGCCCCATGGGTGCCCCGCTCTCCTCCTCCCTCACCCCGCCTCTTGTGTCATCCTCCTGGACTCTCGGTCACAAGTTCGACCAGTCGTGAGTTACTCGCTCTCCCTAGGCTGTCCCTCTGCCCTCCTCTCTGCTCTTCGATCTCCCTAGACTGTCGAAAAAAAAACATCGCTCTCCTTAGACTGTCAGCGGAGAGTGTGCTCAAGGAGCGGTTTAGAGTGGCGGATCACCTGCCGCCGTCTGGGAGCCCCATGGGTGGTGCCCCCCTCTCCTCTTCACTCACTCCTCCGCTCGTGTCCTCCTCCTGGACCCTCGGCCACAAGTTTGATCAATCGTAAGTTCTCTTTCTTGCTCATGCGTTCTTGCCAAGCTGTGAGTTCTCTTTCTCCATGGTTCAGAGTGGCGGATCATCTGCTGCCGCCCGGGAGTCCCAGAGGCGGTGCCCCCTTCTCCTCCTCTTTTGAGTCGACTCAAAAGCAGTCCGGGAGTCCCAGAGGCGGTGCCCCCTTCTCCTCCTCTTTTGAGTCGACTCAAAAGCAGTCCGGGAGTCCCAGAGGCGGTGCCCCCTTCTCCTCCTCTTTTGAGTCGACTCAAAAGCAGTCCGGGAGTCCCAGAGGCGGTGCCCCCTTCTCCTCCTCTTTTGAGTCGACTCAAAAGCAGTCCGGGAGTCCCAGAGGCGGTGCCCCCTTCTCCTCCTCTTTTGAGTCGACTCAAAAGCAGTCCGGGAGTCCCAGAGGCGGTGCCCCCTTCTCCTCCTCCCTCACCCCTCCTCTTGTGTCCTCATCCTGGACTCTCGGCCACAAGTTCAACCAATCGTGAGTTATCTTTTTCTGCTCTCCTCCTCTTCGTATGCTCTTCAACACCCTTCACTGTGTGGCTGTATGGTTTCTTTCTCTCTCCGTTAACCCTCCTCTCGTCTCCTCCTCGTGTCGTGCTTTCCCTGTTCTGTCTCTCACCCCTCTCCTTATCTTCTTGCCCTCGTCCTTCGTCTCTCATTGGCGGTCGCTCCTCCCCTTTTTTACCTCCCCGCTGGTATGCTGATTGCATTTATTTTTTACTCTTGCCGTCCCATGCCCCCCATGCTATGGACCCCCCATGTCCCCGCGGTCCCATTCCCCCATGTTCCTTCATCCCATGTCATCCCATGGCCAGCAACTGGAGAAGGGAAATGCAGGGGGGGCGTATTAATGTGTCTCCAGACAGACTCGAGGCCTCACCCATCGTCAACCAAAGCGCCAACGCTGCTGCTACCTCCTCTAATGACACACCCTCGATGCCCTGTCCCATCCCATCCCACCATGTTCCCCCCGTCTGTCCCATCCCATGGGCAGCAACTGGAGCAAGGACCAGCAGGGGGGACGAATCAACGCTTCTCCGGACAGACTCGAGGCGTCACCCACCAACGCTGCTACCTCTGCGAATGACACTCCCTCAAGGCGACACAGGCGGGACGGCGACGGGGAGAGAGCGGGCGCAGGAGGGAGGCTTGCGGATAGTGCAGGAGAAGGGGGAAGCAGTAGGAGAGGAGGGGGTGGAAATGGCAGTGGCAGCAGGAGTCGGAATATGGGTCATGTAGGGGTGGGGGAGGAGGAGGGGTTGGAGGGGGGAGGTTCGGGGGAAGCTGGGAGAGTGACGTCCCTGGTTCAATCCCAGGAGCGGATCTCTGAGCAGCTGACACTTGTCACCGACCGATTGGACGAGCTGCTCTCGAGATTGGACCTTGTTTCGGCCGGATCAGCGGGGTCTGGGAGCGGGAATGGGGGTGCGGCAGGGAATGGTGGCAGCAGCAACATCCAATTGAGTCCTGCCACGTCAGCATTGACCAGCCAGCTGGTGTCGGGGGGGAATGGGATGTTGGGAGGGAGGAACGGGAGTAGAGGCGAGCTGGCAGGGCCGATTGATATAGGGTCAGGGAACGGGGGGGAGAGGAGGAATGGAGGAGGGGGTGGTGGGGGTGGAGGAGGAGGGAGTGGTGGTAAGGGTGGGAGTGGTGGGGGTGGCAGGCTCACTCCTGTTTCTGCTGCTTCTGCTGGGGGCGGTGTGATGGGCCTGGTGAATGGTGCTGCAGTGGGTGTGAGTGGTAACAGTCAGTGTTACGATGTGAATGCGGTGAATGGGGTTGGGAGCGGTGCAGAGGGGCGAGGGTCAGCAGCACCAGGATCAGCAGCAGCAGCTTTGGTGGTGGAAGTGAAGGAGATCGCCAGCAACCAAAGAAGGCTCGCATCTGAGGTGAGGGGTTCAGCCTGGCGTTACTCTGACAGGATGTGGCGGGCTCAGCCTGATGTTGCTCTGACTTAGTGGCATTTGACTCGACTCTAAGGTGCCGGTGGTACAAGTGAAGGAGATTGTCAGCAGCCAAAGAAGGCTCGCATCTGAGGTGAGGGGGAGTGATGAGGGGTTCTGCCTGGCATTCTGCTGACTTGGTGACTTTGAGTTGACTCAGAAGCGCTGGTTCTGGAAGTGAAGGAGATTGCCAGCAGCCAAAGAATGATTGCATCTGAGGTGAGGGGTCAGGCCTTGGTTCGGTCTGATCTGAGGTGATGGTTCAGGGATTTCAGGTGGCACGGTTGGTTTGTTTGTTTGTTTTTGTTTTTGTTCTGTTCCCCTGCATTGCCACTGGATTGTGCGGTTTATTCCCACTCGGGCCTCACCTACTCAAATTCCTGTGCTCGAATGTCTTCGTCCCCTTCCCCCACCCACCCTTCCCTCCTCCATCCTCCTCCTTTCCCTAAATTTCTGACCGTAGTCTCTGTTTCTTCCCCCCCCCCTCTTCCAACCAATATCAAAATTCCAGCTCGATTCGTTGGGTCGCCTCCTTCGGGACTCACTAGACTCTGACGGTTCCTCCTCCGCTCGCTTCCGCTCCTCTCACCCCCACCTTTCGCACTACTCGCTCTCATCTTCCTCCGCCTCTGAATGGTCCTTATCTCGAGCAGCAACAGGCATTGCGCTGCCAGCTATTGCTGCTTGTGCCGTTGGGGTGGGGGTGGCTGTGCTGGTGGGAGTGCGGCGGTCAGGTTAGGCTCGAGAAAGAAGTAATGCACACTCCCACACACTACACCCATTCATGTCATGCATGGGGTAACACACCAATACCGTATATGTATTCAATCAATGTGCCATGGATGCACATGACAAGACAAGGATTCGGATCTGTAAATGCTCATGCACTTTTATTCAGGTTTGTCCCCATCCATTACCATGTATCCGTGCTCTATGCACCCATAACCACATGGCATTAATTCAAGAACCATACTCATGGTGAACTATTGGAAGCACATTTCTAGTTCCTTGACTGCTGCAGTGCAGGGGCAAGCACATCTGGTTCTGCATTGCTGCTGGATAGCCTTACACTTGACACTTCTTTCAATCTCACATCCCCTGCCTTGTTATAATTGTCATGGTGCAGAAACATTTCCTAGCGCGGATATCGGCAGCAATTGACCAAATGAGATTCAATCAGAATCGACTGACCACGAAACCGAACTGACAAACCGCCAATCTTGATAGCATGACAGCATGAACCTTTTGTTCGGTGCGCATTTGAAACCTCTTTGAACCGAGCTTTCCTCCTAGCTACCGAGAGTAACCGACTCTCCCGGCTTTCTTCCCAAACCAGTTCACTACACCAACTGACGACCGACAGGCTCCTGCTGTAAACAAGACGAAGGGCTATTTCCTGGCCGCTCAAACACGCAACCTCGCTGTCTGTAACTGCCGCCTGTATAACTTACGTATTTCTCCTACCCGCATGCAAGCTGCATCTTTCAGAGTCAGATTGAACGCACGTCAAGATTGAAGCTAGTAACGTACGACGAAGTAAACTTGCATGTACAATCGGTCCTGTCGTGGCCATCCATAATAGCTTATCGGTGTTCAGTAACCGATCCACGCGCGATAGCTGATCAGCAGTTGCTACCAGCGAGTCAGTGACGCTACCTTATCAAGTAGGGATACTTCTTACTTACCACCGACAGACCGACCGACCAACGCCTGCCGGCACTCCGCGCGGACTCCGCGCGGACTCCACGCGGACCCCGCGGGACCTGGAGACCCTACCCCCCGACGCACGGGCAAACTTCTGCTTGAAGCACGAATTTTGATCGCATTCTCATTTTCCGCGGCACTTCCGGTCACCCATTTCCGCGGGTCCGATTCATTCAAGTCCACTGCGGGAATTAGTAGTCCTTTTCCCCAGACGCCTGCACGGTGGAAAGCGACCAGACTCGAGCCCTTCTTGCGGGTCGCCATTTTTCCGCAGCGTTATTCGCGGAATCTTTGCATTACATCCACCACCGTCCGCACAATACTCGCGTATCAAGAGACGTCCGAAAAGTCTTTTTATCAATAGAATCGCGGAGATCGACGGCGGTATTCAACGCTCCGAAATCCTTGAGTCGTGAAACTCCAGTGCTGCCGGCCATGGCCGCGAATCGCGGCGACGCGTCAATGGTCACTCGCAAGCTGATACATGCTCTCGCGCTGCTGTTCCTCGCGCTCGCAGTTGCGACGGCGGCAACTCCGAGGCTGCTCGCCACGGCCGCCGCTCGTCCGCCCAGCCCCGATAGTGAGTTACTAGTAACCGTTCGGAGGCGCTGCGCTGAGAGGTAGCAACACTGCTGCGCTGTCAGCTTATGAGGCGTCTCATAAGACGGCCGCCGCTGCTGCTCCGCCCAGCCCCAACAGTGAGTTACTAACCGTTCGGAGGCACCGAGGGATGCACTGAGAAGCAGCAATTCCTTCTCTTTTTTTTTTTGTCGACTCAGAAATCCGAGGCTGTTGGTGCGACCGCCGCTGCAGTTCCGCCCGGCCCCGATAGAGAGTTACTAACCGTTCGGAGGTGCTGAGGGATGCAGCGAGAAACAGCAATCCCGCTGTGCTGCCAGGTTGGGGGAACGCCATAGATCTTATCCCTGCGACCTGCTCCTCTTCCCGGCTCCTCTGCTGTCCCCTCCTTCACGTCTTGCGGTGCAACGGGGTTGCTGTTAGTGCTGGGGGATGTGATGAGAGGCAGCAATCCTGCTGTGCTGAGAGGCAGCAATCCTGCTGTGCTGCGAGGCAGCAATCCTGCTGTGCTGCGAGGCAGCAATCCTGCTGTGCTGCGAGGCAGCAATCCTGCTGTGCTGCGAGGCAGCAATCCTGCTGTGCTGCGAGGCAGCAATCCTGCTGTGCTGCGAGGCAGCAATCCTGCTGTGCTGCGAGGCAGCAATCCTGCTGTGCTGCGAGGCAGCAATCCTGCTGTGCTGCGAGGCAGCAATCCTGCTGTGCTGCGAGGCAGCAATCCTGCTGTGCTGCGAGGCAGCAATCCTGCTGTGCTGCGAGGCAGCAATCCTGCTGTGCTGCGAGGCAGCAATCCTGCTGTGCTGCGAGGCAGCAATCCTGCTGTGCTGCGAGGCAGCAATCCTGCTGTGCTGCGAGGCAGCAATCCTGCTGTGCTGCGAGGCAGCAATCCTGCTGTGCTGCGAGGCAGCAATCCTGCTGTGCTGCGAGGCAGCAATCCTGCTGTGCTGCGAGGCAGCAATCCTGCTGTGCTGCGAGGCAGCAATCCTGCTGTGCTGCGAGGCAGCAATCCTGCTGTGCTGCGAGGCAGCAATCCTGCTGTGCTGCGAGGCAGCAATCCTGCTGTGCTGCGAGGCAGCAATCCTGCTGTGCTGCGAGGCAGCAATCCTGCTGTGCTGCGAGGCAGCAATCCTGCTGTGCTGCGAGGCAGCAATCCTGCTGTGCTGCGAGGCAGCAATCCTGCTGTGCTGCGAGGCAGCAATCCTGCTGTGCTGCGAGGCAGCAATCCTGCTGTGCTGCGAGGCAGCAATCCTGCTGTGCTGCGAGGCAGCAATCCTGCTGTGCTGCGAGGCAGCAATCCTGCTGTGCTGCGAGGCAGCAATCCTGCTGTGCTGCGAGGCAGCAATCCTGCTGTGCTGCGAGGCAGCAATCCTGCTGTGCTGCGAGGCAGCAATCCTGCTGTGCTGCGAGGCAGCAATCCTGCTGTGCTGCGAGGCAGCAATCCTGCTGTGCTGCGAGGCAGCAATCCTGCTGTGCTGCGAGGCAGCAATCCTGCTGTGCTGCGAGGCAGCAATCCTGCTGTGCTGCGAGGCAGCAATCCTGCTGTGCTGCGAGGCAGCAATCCTGCTGTGCTGCGAGGCAGCAATCCTGCTGTGCTGCGAGGCAGCAATCCTGCTGTGCTGCGAGGCAGCAATCCTGCTGTGCTGCGAGGCAGCAATCCTGCTGTGCTGCGAGGCAGCAATCCTGCTGTGCTGCGAGGCAGCAATCCTGCTGTGCTGCGAGGCAGCAATCCTGCTGTGCTGCGAGGCAGCAATCCTGCTGTGCTGCGAGGCAGCAATCCTGCTGTGCTGCGAGGCAGCAATCCTGCTGTGCTGCGAGGCAGCAATCCTGCTGTGCTGCGAGGCAGCAATCCTGCTGTGCTGCGAGGCAGCAATCCTGCTGTGCTGCGAGGCAGCAATCCTGCTGTGCTGCGAGGCAGCAATCCTGCTGTGCTGCGAGGCAGCAATCCTGCTGTGCTGCGAGGCAGCAATCCTGCTGTGCTGCGAGGCAGCAATCCTGCTGTGCTGCGAGGCAGCAATCCTGCTGTGCTGCGAGGCAGCAATCCTGCTGTGCTGCGAGGCAGCAATCCTGCTGTGCTGCGAGGCAGCAATCCTGCTGTGCTGCGAGGCAGCAATCCTGCTGTGCTGCGAGGCAGCAATCCTGCTGTGCTGCGAGGCAGCAATCCTGCTGTGCTGCGAGGCAGCAATCCTGCTGTGCTGCGAGGCAGCAATCCTGCTGTGCTGCGAGGCAGCAATCCTGCTGTGCTGCGAGGCAGCAATCCTGCTGTGCTGCGAGGCAGCAATCCTGCTGTGCTGCGAGGCAGCAATCCTGCTGTGCTGCGAGGCAGCAATCCTGCTGTGCTGCGAGGCAGCAATCCTGCTGTGCTGCGAGGCAGCAATCCTGCTGTGCTGCGAGGCAGCAATCCTGCTGTGCTGCGAGGCAGCAATCCTGCTGTGCTGCGAGGCAGCAATCCTGCTGTGCTGCGAGGCAGCAATCCTGCTGTGCTGCGAGGCAGCAATCCTGCTGTGCTGCGAGGCAGCAATCCTGCTGTGCTGCGAGGCAGCAATCCTGCTGTGCTGCGAGGCAGCAATCCTGCTGTGCTGCGAGGCAGCAATCCTGCTGTGCTGCGAGGCAGCAATCCTGCTGTGCTGCGAGGCAGCAATCCTGCTGTGCTGCGAGGCAGCAATCCTGCTGTGCTGCGAGGCAGCAATCCTGCTGTGCTGCGAGGCAGCAATCCTGCTGTGCTGCGAGGCAGCAATCCTGCTGTGCTGCGAGGCAGCAATCCTGCTGTGCTGCGAGGCAGCAATCCTGCTGTGCTGCGAGGCAGCAATCCTGCTGTGCTGCGAGGCAGCAATCCTGCTGTGCTGCGAGGCAGCAATCCTGCTGTGCTGCGAGGCAGCAATCCTGCTGTGCTGCGAGGCAGCAATCCTGCTGTGCTGCGAGGCAGCAATCCTGCTGTGCTGCGAGGCAGCAATCCTGCTGTGCTGCGAGGCAGCAATCCTGCTGTGCTGCGAGGCAGCAATCCTGCTGTGCTGCGAGGCAGCAATCCTGCTGTGCTGCGAGGCAGCAATCCTGCTGTGCTGCGAGGCAGCAATCCTGCTGTGCTGCGAGGCAGCAATCCTGCTGTGCTGCGAGGCAGCAATCCTGCTGTGCTGCGAGGCAGCAATCCTGCTGTGCTGCGAGGCAGCAATCCTGCTGTGCTGCGAGGCAGCAATCCTGCTGTGCTGCGAGGCAGCAATCCTGCTGTGCTGCGAGGCAGCAATCCTGCTGTGCTGCGAGGCAGCAATCCTGCTGTGCTGCGAGGCAGCAATCCTGCTGTGCTGCGAGGCAGCAATCCTGCTGTGCTGCGAGGCAGCAATCCTGCTGTGCTGCGAGGCAGCAATCCTGCTGTGCTGCGAGGCAGCAATCCTGCTGTGCTGCGAGGCAGCAATCCTGCTGTGCTGCGAGGCAGCAATCCTGCTGTGCTGCGAGGCAGCAATCCTGCTGTGCTGCGAGGCAGCAATCCTGCTGTGCTGCGAGGCAGCAATCCTGCTGTGCTGCGAGGCAGCAATCCTGCTGTGCTGCGAGGCAGCAATCCTGCTGTGCTGCGAGGCAGCAATCCTGCTGTGCTGCGAGGCAGCAATCCTGCTGTGCTGCGAGGCAGCAATCCTGCTGTGCTGCGAGGCAGCAATCCTGCTGTGCTGCGAGGCAGCAATCCTGCTGTGCTGCGAGGCAGCAATCCTGCTGTGCTGCGAGGCAGCAATCCTGCTGTGCTGCGAGGCAGCAATCCTGCTGTGCTGCGAGGCAGCAATCCTGCTGTGCTGCGAGGCAGCAATCCTGCTGTGCTGCGAGGCAGCAATCCTGCTGTGCTGCGAGGCAGCAATCCTGCTGTGCTGCGAGGCAGCAATCCTGCTGTGCTGCGAGGCAGCAATCCTGCTGTGCTGCGAGGCAGCAATCCTGCTGTGCTGCGAGGCAGCAATCCTGCTGTGCTGCGAGGCAGCAATCCTGCTGTGCTGCGAGGCAGCAATCCTGCTGTGCTGCGAGGCAGCAATCCTGCTGTGCTGCGAGGCAGCAATCCTGCTGTGCTGCGAGGCAGCAATCCTGCTGTGCTGCGAGGCAGCAATCCTGCTGTGCTGCGAGGCAGCAATCCTGCTGTGCTGCGAGGCAGCAATCCTGCTGTGCTGCGAGGCAGCAATCCTGCTGTGCTGCGAGGCAGCAATCCTGCTGTGCTGCGAGGCAGCAATCCTGCTGTGCTGCGAGGCAGCAATCCTGCTGTGCTGCGAGGCAGCAATCCTGCTGTGCTGCGAGGCAGCAATCCTGCTGTGCTGCGAGGCAGCAATCCTGCTGTGCTGCGAGGCAGCAATCCTGCTGTGCTGCGAGGCAGCAATCCTGCTGTGCTGCGAGGCAGCAATCCTGCTGTGCTGCGAGGCAGCAATCCTGCTGTGCTGCGAGGCAGCAATCCTGCTGTGCTGCGAGGCAGCAATCCTGCTGTGCTGCGAGGCAGCAATCCTGCTGTGCTGCGAGGCAGCAATCCTGCTGTGCTGCGAGGCAGCAATCCTGCTGTGCTGCGAGGCAGCAATCCTGCTGTGCTGCGAGGCAGCAATCCTGCTGTGCTGCGAGGCAGCAATCCTGCTGTGCTGCCAGGATGGGTGCTTGCCATGAATAACCGTGACCCCCCTATACCTATTCCCCCTGTCCCCTCTCTCTGACCCCTCCCTCCCCCTCTTCTTCCTCTTTCGCAGAAGCCGCGCTGTTGGCGCTGAGGGACGCGCTGAGAAAAGGCTACCTCGCTGCGCTGCCAATCTTGCTGCGCTGCCAATCTTGCTGCGCTGCCGGGATGGGTGAATGCGGATCCGTGCGACCCCCCCTCTTCCCACCCCCCAAGCCTGCCTCTTCTCTCTTCCTCTTCTTCCGGTGCAGAGGCCGCGCTGTTGGTGCTGAGGGACGCGCTGAGAAAAAGCTACCCCGCTGCGCTGCCCGGATGGGTGAATGCGGATCCGTGCGAGCCCCCCTCTTCCCACCCACCCCCCCTGTCCCCTCCTCCTCTTATTCCTCTTCCTGTGCAGAGGCCGCGCTGTTAGTGCTGAGGGACGCACTGAGAAAAAGCTACCCCGGTGCGCTGCCCGGATGGGTGAATGCGGATCCGTGCGACAACTCGTGGACCCCTCGCATCAAATGCAACAGTGCTGGACGCGTTATAAGCCTGTGAGATGCTGGACGCGTTATAAGCATGTGAGCGACGCGCTGTAAGCCTGTGAGCTGCTGGACGCGTTATAAGCATGTGACTTGCTGCGTTATAAGCATGAGCGCAGCTCATCAAATGTCCTATTTCAGGGAAGCACTTTTGGGGCGCATCAAAAGCTCCCAGCTCACTAATTGGCCCCATCTTCCCCCTTCCGTTGTGCAGCAATCTGGCGAATCAGCTGCTGAAAGGGCCCATCCCATGGAAGCAGCTAGCTGCTCCAATAGCTCCCATTCCCCCACTTGCCCCCATCCCCCCCCTTCCGTTGTGCAGCAATCTGGCGAATCAACTGCTGAAAGGGCCCATCCCAGGGAAGCAGTTGGCTGCTCTGGCTGGGCTTCAACGCCTGTGAGTGCATGGGGGAAAGGGGGAAGAGGCGGAGGGGGGGCAGGGAAGGGGAAGGGGGCGGAAAGGAGGATGGGGATGGGGGGGCGGAAAGGAGGAAGGGCCCATCCCGGGGAAGCAGTCGGCTGCTCTGGCTGGGCTCCAACGCCTGTGAGTGCATTGGGGGGAAAGGACGAAGTGATGGGGCGAGGGGGAAGGGGGAAGGGGGAAGGGGGAAGGGGGAAGGGGGAAGGGGGAAGGGGGAAGGGGGAAGGGGAAGAGGCGGAGGGGGAGGGGAAGGGGCACGGTCAGAGGGAAAGGGCTGGGAGTATCGGATGGATTTAGAAAAAAAAAAAAAAGGTTCCTATCCTCTCAGTTCCTTTTCGTCGCCCCTCACGCAATGTGCAGCGACATGGGGTACAACGCACTCACAGGGCCCATCCCAAAGGAGACTTGTGAGGCATCTCACTTATCCATTTCCTGCGTTATTCTCCCCATCTGTCACGATCCTGTTGGCACGTGCAGAGACATGGGATACAACGCACTGACAGGGCCCATCCCACAGGAGCTCTCAGCCCTCTCCAGCCTCACCTTCCTGTGAGTCTTCTTTCAACCCCACTCACCTGTCCGTCCCTCTGCTGCTTGCTTTCCGATGAGTCTTAAAAGTGTAGGTGTTTCACGCACTCACAGGGCCCATCCCAAAGTAGCTCCCAGCCCTCTCCAACCTCACCTTCCTGTGAGTCGCGCCAAACGTTGCCGTCCACCCTTCGATCCTCACCTACTTGTGAGTCGACATGACTGACACCTATGTTGCAACCCTACCCGAGCATCGATTCCAACATAGCATGACAACCACTTTTTTTTTTTCTTTTTTTTTTTTTCTTCTGTATTTTCTGTTAGAGATTTCTCAAAATGCATAGCTTGACACCCACGCGCCTGTTCGGTGTGGCACTTCCAACCTCATTAGCTGTCCGCCCTTCCAACCTCACGCACTTATGGGTTACTCTGCGGCTTGCTTGCTGACAATTCTTGAGACGTGAGTTTGGAGTCATTCATTCACACAGCTTACTTGCTAGTCACCTTCCCCTTTCCCCTTCCCTTTTCCCCACTTTATTTATCCCTCCCTCTCCGTCTCCCTCCCTCCCTCCCTCCCTCCCTCCCTCCCTCCCTCCCTCCCTCCCTCCCTCCCTCCCTCCCTCCCTCCCTCCCTCCCTCCCTCCCCTTCAGATCGTTAGAGGCCAATAAATTGAAGGGATCAGTTTCCGAGTGGCTGGGACAACGACTCTTAAAGCTAGTGAACGTGTGAGTTTTCTTACTGTAAGTCAGCATGTACGTTAGATTGCTTTGTTAGTGCGGTTACAGAGTCAACTTTTGGCCCGCCCCTCGTTTTCCTAGTTGATTGACTGGCTCTCTTCATGCCTCCACACGTCTCTCTTTCTCCTCATGCCTCCGCACATCCCTTTCTCTCCCCATGTGGTTCAGCCGTCGCCAGCAACTTTCTCAGTGGCACTCTGCCAAGCACAATGGGGGGGAGACCGCACGTCCCTCCTCATACCTCCACACGCCCCTCTCCCCTCATACCTCCACACGCCCCTCTCCCCTCATACCTCCACACGCCCCTCTCCCCTCATACCTCCACACGCCCCTCTCCCCTCATACCTCCACACGCCCCTCTCTCCTCATACCTCCACACGCCCCTCTCTCCTCATACCTCCACACGCCCCTCTCTCCTCATACCTCCACACGCCCCTCTCCCCTCATACCTCCACACGCCCCTCTCCCCTCATACCTCCACACTCCCCTCTCCCCTCATACCTCCACACGCCCCTCTCCCCTCATACCTCCACACGCCCCTCTCTCCTCATACCTCCACACGCCCCTCTCTCCTCATACCTCCACACGCCCCTCTCCCCTCATACCTCCACACGCCCCTCTCTCCTCATACCTCCACACGCCCCTCTCTCCTCATACCTCCACACGCCCCTCTCTCCTCATACCTCCACACGCCCCTCTCCCCTCATACCTCCACACGCCCCTCTCCCTTCATACCTCCACACGCCCCCCTCTCCTCATGTCCTTTTCTCTCCCCATGTGTGCAGCCGTCTCGCCAGCAACCTTCTCAGTGGCCCTCTGCCAAGCACCCTGGGGGGTCTCAAGAACTTGCAGTCGCTGTGAGCTGTTTTTCTCGTCGTCGTTGTCGTTGTTTTTGGGAGGGGCTAGGTGGGTATGCAAGACTCTTTCTCATGTCGAATCAACGTGCCTGTCTCCCTGTCCCTCGCAATAATCTATTTGTTTGGTCTCATGCCTCCCTCCCTCACTTCCCTCACTGCTCCCATCGTCTCCTCACTTCAAATCTCCCTCCCTCATATCAGCATATGCCTCACTCCATGCCTCCGTCAATTCCCCCTCGCCGCCCATGCCTCCCCCCTCGCTCCCCCTCCCAGTGGCCTTGCCAGCAACGGCCTCTCAGGCCAGCTGCCGTCCACCCTCCAGCACTCTACACCTCACTGCATGGCCCCCACCCCACTCTACGCCTCCCCCCCTCTCTCCCAGTGACCTTGCCAGCAACGGCCTCTCAGGCCAGCTGCCGTCCACCCTGCTGCCTGATGGAGCACTCATCGCCGTGTCTCTTGATGCTTGCTTCACTTCGTTACCCACACATGCCCCTCCCTCCCTCCCAGTGGCCTCGGCAGCAACCGCCTCACAGGCCAGCTGCCGTCCACCCTCCAGCACTGCCGTCTGTTAGAGCACTCGTTGCCATATCCCTCCCTCGTCTTCCCCCTTGCCTTACCCACCACGCCTCCCCCTCCCAGTGACCTTGGCAGCAACCGCCTCACAGGCCAGCTGCCGTCCACCCTACAGCGCTGCTGGCTCTTGAAGTACTTGTGAGTTGCCCACAATAGAACTGCTCCCCTCGTACCTTTTCCTCAGAGAAACGTGTGCTCCGCTGTCCCTTCCTCCCTGCCCATGAGCACACATTACTCACATTGCACTGTGCGCTGCCGGCTCTTGAAGCAGCTGTGAGTTGTCCACCTCCCTCCCCTCCTCTTTCCCTTCCACCAGATCCATCCCAGCCAATCAAAGCACGTCACACTGCTCCCTCTTGCCCCCGCCCCCAGAGCACACATTGCACACGATGCTCACATCACATCGCTCCATTTCCTTCCCTCCACCCTCCATGCTCCTCCTCCCTCTTCATCCCCTCACTCTTTCGCTTGCACCAGGCCCCGTCCCCAGGACTTTCCAAGCCTCCCACCCAATGCGCTCTTAGGAGACTTTTGAGTCGACTCAAAAGTCACCTCTGCATCCCCTCACTATTTCGCTTGCACCAGGCCCGGTCCCCAGGGCCTTCCAAGCCTTTCACCCAATGCGCTCTTAGGACACTTTTTGAGTCGACTCAAAAGTCACCTCTTCATCCCCTCTCCATCCCGCCCATCCTCCATTTTACCAGGTCCGTCCCACCCAATGCGCTCTTAGGACCGGTCCCAGGGTGGCTTGGAAGCCCCTTCGTCCCATCCACCATCCATCTCCCTCATCCTCCCCCTCCTTTCCACTATCTCCCCCCTCCCTGCCCTCCTCTTTCCCCATCACCAGATCCGTCCCAGCCAATCAGCTCTCAGGACCGGTCCCAGGTTGGCTTGGAAGCCTCAAGCAGTTACAAGTGCTGTAAGCATAACACTTAGCTAAAACCGTTGTGAGCTTTGAGACGTTGCACAACCAGGGCGGCTTCGAAGCCTCAAGCAGCTGAGAGTTTCTGTAAGGAGGATGCTTAGTTGAAATCGATGCGATTTTTTAGACGTGTCAAATCCAGAATGGCTTGGAAGTAGCCTCAAGCTTCTGAGACTGCTGTAAGCATGTCGCTTAACTAAAAGAAGTGCGTTTCCTCCTTGCCGTGTCCGTTTCACAGAGCAATGCCTCACCTGAACCAGTTTTGAATCTTTTCTCCTCTCCTCACCTCTCCTATCCTCTCCTCTCCTATCCTCTCCTCCTCCCTTCCCCTCCGCTCTCCCCTCCTCGCCCTCTCTCAAAGAGCTGTTCTCAAACCGGCTGTCCGGCCCTATTCCCCCCAATGAGGCCGGTGCCTCTGTCCTGCTTCACTCCTCCTCTCCTCCCTCGCTACCCTTTCCTTTCCCCCCCTGTCCTCTCCCCTCCTCCTCCTCTCCTCTTTTCTCTCAAAGAGCTCTACTCGAAACGCCTGCCCGACCTTACTATTCCACCCTGCTTAAATCCTTCTCCCGTTCCTGCCTCCTCCTCTCTCCCCCTCTATCAGTAATCTCTACTCCAACCGCCTCTCCCGCCGGCCGTGTTCCCCCTTGCCTGGGGGGTCCCTCTCCCTTCTTATAACCCTCTCTCCTCCCCCCTACTTCCCCCCTCCTCCTCTCCCCCTCTCCCCCTCTCCCCCTCTCCTCCTCTCCCCCTCTCCCCCTCTCCCCCTCTCCCCCTCTCCCCCTCCCTCAGTGAGCTCTACTCGAACCTCCTTTCCGGCCGTATTCCCCCTAGCCTGGCCGGTGCCACTGCTCTGGAATCAATGCGAGTCAATGCGAGTCAATGCGACTCAATGAGACTCAATGCGAGTCAATGCGAGTCAATGCGAGTCAATGGGAGTCAATGCGAGTCAATGCGAGTCAATGGGAGTGCGATGCGTGATAAACTTGTCTGCTGCATCAATGAATGCCAGTCAATGTGAGTCAACAAGAGTCAGCGCAAGTCAACGCGAGTCAATGCGAGTCAATGCGAGTCAGTGACACCACACTCTCTGCCAGGTCCCATTCCATCCCTTTGCATTGAGGTGTTTTTTGAGGCGCCTAAAAAAACACCTCCCACCGACTCTCAGGTCCCATCCATTTCACCAGCACTCAGAAACCCTTCCCACCCGTGGTTGGGTTGGGTGAACACAGTCTCACTCTCGTGCCGTCCCCCATGCCCATCCCTCCCCCCCGGCCCCCTCTCTCCCCCGCAGAGCAATAGACGACAATCGCCTCTCCGGCCCCCTCCCCCCAGCACTTGGAAAAACTTTTCCACCCATGGTTGGGCGCACACAGTCACACTCTTGTACCGTCCCCCATGCCAATCCCCCTGGGCCCCATCCCCCCCGGCCCCCACCCCCCCCCACAGAGCTATAGACAGCAATCGCCTCTCCGGCCCCCTCCCACCAGCACTCAGAAACCCTTCCCAACCGTGGTTGGGTTGGGTGAACACAGTCTCACTCACTCTCGTGCCGTCCCCCATGCCCATCCCTCCCCCCCGGCCCCCACCCCTCCCCACAGAGCAAAAGACGCCAATCGCCTCTCGGGTCCCACCACTCAAAAACCTTCCCACCCGTGGTTGGGTGCACACAGTCTCACTCTCGTGCCATCCCCCATGCCCATTCCAAATCTCCCCCCTCCTCGTCGCACAGAGCACTAGACGACAATCGCCTCTCGGGTCCCCTCCCACCAGCACTCGGGAACCTTCCCAATCTCGCCGCCCTGTAGGGTTCAGGGTTCATGGTTTCGAATTTCAGGGCTTTACGGTATCTTGGGGGTGTTGGGACTGCTGGTGACTTTTGAGTCGACTCAAAAGTCACCTAATTTCATGGTTTCGAATTTCAGGCCTTTACGGTATTTTGGGGGTGTTGGGACTGCTGGTTTCGGGTACAGGGCAGTGGAGTGCCCAACACCCCCAAGCGGAGTGCCATTAGGCTCTCTGCTTGGGTTTAGGGCAGTGGTGGTGGTGCTGTTTTCTTCGCTCCTCTCTGCGTGGTGGTGGTGCTTCTCTCTCTCTCTTCTAGGGCAAGCGCTCCTCTCTTGGGGGCGAGCCCTTCTGAGGGCAAGCAGTTTTTTGGGGCAAGCAAGTTAGAGGCGACTTTTGAGTCGATTAAAAAAAGAGATCACTTTTGAGGGCAGCAAGCACCTTTGAATCGCCTCAAAAGAAGCCTGTACTCACTAGCAGCTCCCTAGGGGACCTCATTCCTGTTCTGGGTGACTGAGTCAGCTCAAGAATCGTCTTTTTAGTCGACTCAAGATGGTTCTTGAGTCAACTAAGAACAAAACAATGCTGGTGGCGTCTACTCCTCCTGGGTTTACGACAGTGCTGCTGTTTGCCTCGCTGTGCCTCTGCCTTCACTCGCAAGCAACTTCCAGGAAGGAAAGAGCCCTTTCCTGCCAGCTTCAATGGCCCGCTCTCTCCCGTTATACCTCTCACTCCCCCGTCTCGTCGCTCTCTCCCGTTATACCTCTCACTCCCCCGTCTCGTCGCTCTCTCCCGTTATACCTCTCACTCCCCCGTCTCGTCGCTCTCTCGTGCCCTCTCATCCCACCATCTGCCACATTCTCTCTCGCACCCACGGTTTGTCTCTCTTGCGAGCAACTCCCTGGAAGGCCCCATTCCCGCCAGCTTCAGTTGTCCTTCAATACCCTGTTGCGCCTATCCCCCGCCTGTGCTCTCTCTCATCCCACCATCTGCCCCATGCTCCCTCCCCTCCCAGCTATGCTGCAAGCAACTCCCTGGAAGGCCCCATCCCTGCCAGTTTCAAACGCCTCAAGAGCCTCATGTACCTGTGAGTGGGTGGGTGAATGTGCTCGTGCATGGCCTACATTCCAACAGCGCGCCACAACACTCGCAAGCAATTCCCTGGAAGGACCCATTCCTGCCAGTTTCAAACGCCTCAAGAGCCTCATGTACCTGTGAGTGGATCGGTTTTCACTAAATGCTTCAACCCTAAAGCACCCTGAGCTTTTTATGCGCCTATAAAGCAGCTTCAAACGCCTCAAGAGCCTCATGTACCTGTGAGTGGGTGGGGTGGGGGGGGCTTTGCTCAGTCTTGATCGCTCCCAAATGCTCATATTCTGAGGTGGAAATGGATGGATCGAACACGGCACAGCAGTGTGTGAGTAGAGATAGTCATACAATCTACGATTGTACTTACCGCACTCGTTAATTGGATTAGATCCCAAATACTTATTTACGGGCCACATTCCTACCAGCTTATGTCGCCCCAATACCTTCATGTAGCTGCGAGTGGGTCTTGATTAAGACCTACTCATGACAGTCATAGTGACTCCTGATGCAGCAAGGCCGTCAGCAGGTTCCATTCTATCCCAGCCTTTGTTCCTCACCCAGCCTCCTTTCCCTCAGCCTCAGAAGTGACTCAGCCCCTTTTTGTCTCCTCCTCCTCCGCCATCGTCCAACCTCTCGCCCCCTCTTCCCCCTCCATCTCTCGACCTTCCACCTGCAGCGACCTGAGTTACAACAAGGGCATTAACGGGTCCGTCCCAGCCTTCCTGGGAAACCTCTGGCTGCTCGAGTCCCTGTGAGTGGGGAAGGGAGGGTTGGGAGCTGGACTTGCCTGTGGGTGTGGAACGGTTGGGTGGACTTGCGGCCCTAGGTGTGTATCAATGGATCCTGCTTTCCCCAATCTTACCCCACCCCCACCTGCCCCATCCCTCCATCTCTTCTCTGTCAACCTCGTCCTTCAGCTCCATGTCCCCGCGTGTAGAAAAAGTACCATGTGACGTTATACCGAGTTGACTTTTGAGTTGACTCAAGTCAACTCCATCTCTTCTCCCTCAACCTCCCCCTTGAGCTCCATGTCCCCGCCAGCCAACCATATCCTCTTGCCACGTGTATGAAGTAATGGTTTGAGACGTCTCAAAACATTACGTCTCAAAACATTACTTTTTTTCACCCTCCTTTCCTCCCTGTCAGAGCCATGGAGCACTGCAACCTCACGGGCCAAATCCCTCCATCTCTAGGCACTCTCAACCTCCTCGTGGAGATCTTCCTCTCCTTCCCCCCCTGTTCTCTCCCCCCCTGTTCTCTCCCCCCCTGTTCTCTCCCCCCCTGTTCTCTCCCCCCCTGTTCTCTACCCCCCTGTTCTCTCCCCCCCTGTTCTCTCCCCCCCTGTTCTCTCCCCCCCTGTTCTCTCCCCCCCTGTTCCCTCCCCCCCTGTTCCCTCCCTTCCTGTCCCCCACCCGCCTCCTCCCTGTCAGGGCCATGGAGCATTGCAGCCTCACAGGCCCCATCCCGCCGTCTGTAGGCGCCCTCAGCCTCCTCGTGGAAATCTTTCTCTCCTCTCCCTGCTTCTGCCCCCCTGTTCCCTCCCTTCCCATCCCCCCTCCTCCCTGTCAGGGCCATGGAGCATTGCAACCTCTCAGGCCCCATCCCGCCCTCTCTAGGCGCCCTCAACCTCCTAGTGGAGATCTTTCTCGACGGAAACCGCCTCACCGGCCGCATCCCAGCAACTCTCGGCAGCCTGGAATCGCTCAACAAGCTCTATCTCAACCGCAACCGCCTCACCGGGAGCATCCCGGCACAGCTGTGCTACCTTTCATATGCATACGAGCTCAACCTGGGCCACAACGAGCTCAATGGGTCGATTCCGGCCTGCCTGCCTGCACTGCCACGCCTGACACTGCTGTAAGTGAGAATCTAAGTTCTCGCCTGAACAGGCAGCCTGGAATCGCTCAACAAGCTCTATCTCAACCGTAACCGCCTCACCGGGAGCATCCCGGCACAGCTGTGCCGCCTGCACTATGCATACGAGATCAACCTGGTCACAATGAGCTGAATGGATCGATTCCGGCATGTTTACCTGCCCTGCCGCGGCTGACGCTGCTGTGAGTAAGAGTCTCTTCTCTCGGCAGCACAGCATCCCGGCACAGCTGTGCCACCTGCACTATGCATACGAGATCAACCTGGGTCACAATGAGCTGAATGGATCAATTCCGGCATGTTTACCTGCCCTGCCGCGGCTAACGCTGCTGTGAGTAAGAGTCTCTTCTCTCGGCAGCACAGCATCCCGGCACAGCTGTGCCACCTGCACTATGCATACGAGATCAACCTGGGTCAAAATGAGCTGAATGGATCGATTCCGGCATGTTTACCTGCCCTGCCGCGGCTGACGCTGCTGTGAGTAAGAGTCTCTTCTCTCGGCAGCACAGCATCCCGGCGCAGCTGTGCCACCTGCACTATGCATACGAGATCAACCTGGGTCACAACGAGCTGAATGGATCGATTCCGGCATGTTTACCTGCCCTGCCGCAGCTGACACTGCTGTGAGTAAGAGTCTCTTCTCTCGGCAGCACAGCATCCCGGCACAGCTGTGCCACCTGCACTATGCATACGAGATCAACCTGGTCACAATGAGCTGAATGGATCGATTCCGGCATGTTTACCTACCCTCCCACGACTGACGCTGCTGTGAGTACGAGTCTCTTCTCTCGGCAGCACAGCATCCCGGCACAGCTGTGCCACCTGCACTATGCATACGAGATCAACCTGGGTCACAACGAGCTGAATGGATCGATTCCGGCATGTTTACCTGCCCTGCCGCGGCTGACACTGCTGTGAGTAAGAGTCTCTTCTCTCGGCAGCACAGCATCCCGGCACAGCTGTGCCACCTGCACTATGCATACGAGATCAACCTGGTCACAATGAGCTGAATGGATCGATTCCGGCATGTTTACCTGCCCTCCCGCGGCTGACGCTGCTGTGAGTACGAGTCTCTTCTCTCGGCAGCACAGCATCCCGGCACAGCTGTGCCACCTGCACTATGCATACGAGATCAACCTGGGTCACAACGAGCTGAATGGATCGATTCCGGCATGTTTACCTGCCCTGCCGCGGCTGACACTGCTGTGAGTAAGAGTCTCTTCTCTCGGCAGCACAGCATCCCGGCACAGCTGTGCCACCTGCACTATGCATACGAGATCAACCTGGTCACAATGAGCTGAATGGATCGATTCCGGCATGTTTACCTGCCCTCCCGCGGCTGACGCTGCTGTGAGTACGAGTCTCTTCTCTCGGCAGCACAGCATCCCGGCACAGCTGTGCCACCTGCACTATGCATACGAGATCAACCTGGGTCACAACGAGCTGAATGGATCGATTTCGGCATGTTTACCTGCCCTGCCGCGGCTGACACTGCTGTGAGTAAGAGTCTCTTCTCTCGGCAGCACAGCATCCCGGCACAGCTGTGCCACCTGCACTATGCATACGAGATCAACCTGGTCACAATGAGCTGAATGGATCGATTCCGGCATGTTTACCTGCCCTCCCGCGGCTGACGCTGCTGTGAGTACGAGTCTCTTCTCTCGGCAGCACAGCATCCCGGCACAGCTGTGCCACCTGCACTATGCATACGAGATCAACCTGGGTCACAATGAGCTGAATGGATCGATTCCGGCATGTTTACCTGCCCTCCCGCGGCTGACGCTGCTGTGAGTACGAGTCTCTTCTCTCGGCAGCACAGCATCCCGGCACAGCTGTGCCACCTGCACTATGCATACGAGATCAACCTGGGTCACAACGAGCTGAATGGATCGATTCCGGCATGTTTACCTGCCCTGCCGCGGCTGACGCTGCTGTGAGTAAGAGTCTTTTCTCTCGGCAGCACAGCATCCCGGCACAGCTGTGCCACCTGCACTATGCATACGAGATCAACCTGGGTCACAACGACCTGAATGGGTCTATCCCGGCGTGTTTACCTGCCCTGCCACGGCTGACTTTGCTGTAAGTGAGAATCTGACCTTGGGCTCAACAGGCAGTCAGTCTAGAGTCCCTCAACAAGCTCTTTCTCAACCGCAACCGCCTCACAGGGAGCATCCCGGCACAGCTGTGCCGCCTGGACAGTATTTACGACCTCAACCTGGCTCGCAATGAGCTCAATGGGACGATTTCGGCGTGCCTCCCGGCCCTGCCACGCCTGACACTGCTGTGAGTGAGAGTCCCTTTTCTCGGCAGCACAGCATCCCGGCACAGCTGTGCCGCCTGCACTATGCATACGAGATCAACGTGGGTCGCAGTGAGCTGAATGGGTCCATCCCGGCGTGCCTCCCCGCCCTGCCACGCCTGACACTGCTGTGAGTGAGAATCTGACCTTGGGCTCGACAGGCAGTCTACACTCACAAGCTCAAGAGAGTCTGACCTTGGGCTCACAACACTCTGAATGCCCTCAACAAGCTCTCTTCCTCGACCGCAACCGCCTCACCAGGAGCATCCTGGCACAGCTGTGCCGCCAGGCCAGTATTTACGAGATCAGCCTGGCTCGCAACGAGCTGAATGGGTCGATCTCGGCGTGCCTGCCCTGCCACGTCTGAAACTGCTGTGAGTGAACGGTTGCCCGCATCTGAAACTGCTGTGAGTGTGAGTCTGAGAGCATCCCAGCACAGCTGTGCCGCCTGGCCAACCTGCCTACAAGATCAACCTGCCTACAAGATCAACCTGCCTACAAGATCAACCTGCCTACAAGATCAACCTGCCTACAAGATCAACCTGCCTACAAGATCAACCTGCCTACAAGATCAACCTGCCTACAAGATCAACCTGCCTACAAGATCAAGCTGCCTACAAGATCAACCTGCCTACAAGATCAACCTGCCTACAAGATCAACCTGCCTACAAGATCAACCTGCCTACAAGATCAACCTGCCTACAAGATCAACCTGCCTCGCAATGAGCTCAATGGGTCGATCCCGGCTTGTCTGCCTGCCCCGCCACGCCTGACACTGCTGTGAGTGAACGGTACCTCTTGCTATCAGCGGCTGTCCTTCCATCAGCACAGCATCCCAGCTCGGTACAGCTGTGTCGTCTCTCCTCTTTCTGGCTCACATCACAATGAGCTGAATGGCCCGATTCCAGCCTGTTTGCCTGCTCTGCCGTGTCTGTCTGTCTGTCGTTGCTGGAAGTGAGTACCATGTGTGGCGTTCGCACCAGAATATGGTTTATTAGCCCTTTTATTGGCAATCGGAGTGCTGCTGCAGCTCACCGTACCTCACCTCACCTCACCTCACCTCAACTCACCTCTTCCCTATCGCCTCTCCCTTCTCCCCTTTCCCGCCCCACCCACTGCAACAGCGACGTCTCCCACAACCACCTCACAGGCAAACTCCCTCCCATTCCGAAGAAATCCAATCTCCGCTTCTTGTGAGTTTCCCCGTCATGCCACTGCCTATAGACCATCTCAAAGGCCTCAAAGTCTCAAGGGTCTCAAAGTCACCTCACGGGCCCAATCCCTTCCATTCCGAAGAAATCCAATCTCCGCTTCTTGTGAGTTGCCCCGTCATGCCACTCTCTACACCGTCCCAAAGGCCTCTAAAGCTCAGGGGTCTCAAAGTCACCTCACGGGCCCACTCCCTTCCATTCCTGACCAATCAAATCTTCGCTTCATGTGAGTTCCCCTGCCGTTCATCTCAAAAGCCTTAAGGCTTTAATGCCGTGAATCCTTAAAGCCTGAAAGGTCCAAGGGTCTCAGAAGTCATCTCATGAGCCAGCTCCCTCCTGTGCCGTGGCATGACATGTGACATGTGCAAATGATAGGATTTATTTCTTTGAAGGATTTAATCATGGCTACATGGAATCAAAAAGTAGCAAGCTTTTTGCACACCAATTTTGTTTATGCAGAGGTAGGAGATGACCGAGAGTCTGTGGTCCAAAAAATTGAAAAATATGACCTGGTGGCTATGCCTATTCTCAATGAAGAAAAACAATTAGTGGGAATTGTCCGCTATGACGATGCTATGGATGTAATTAGAGCAGAAGAAACTGAAGACATGGAGAAATTTAAGGGTATAGTTTACCCCAATCCCCCCATGCAGGCATGCGGGAAACTGGCTCAACTGTGCAGCCAACCAGGCCTGCCCTACTTCTGAAGCACCTCAGGAAATAGCCATGCAGTGCCATGACATGTGATATCCCATGCGCATACCCCAATCCCCCCATGCAGGTATGCGGGTAACTGCCTCGACCATGCAGCCAACCAGGCCTGCCCTCCCAAATCCTCCTCACCTGCTGCTACTCCCTAGTCTTCTTCCTCCTCTACCACCTCCCCGTCTCCCTCCTCTGCTCCCTCTGCTCCCTCTGCTCATCCCTCTGCTGCCCGCTCTGCTCCCTCTTCTCCCTCCTCTTCACCCCCCTCATCTCCTCCCTCTGCTCCCTCTGCTCATCCCTCTGCTGCCCGCTCTGCTCCCTCTTCTCCCTCCTCTTCACCCCCCTCATCTCCTCCCTCTGCTCCCTCTGCTCATCCCTCTGCTGCCCGCTCTGCTCCCTCTTCTCCCTCCTCTTCACCCCCCTCATCTCCTCCCTCTGCTCCCTCTGCTCCCCCCTCTGCCCCCTCCTCTGCTTTCTCTGCTCCTCCATCAAGCAGCCTTACTCCTGCATCCTCCTCTTCCCCTCCCTCCTCCTCTCCCGCTGCTCCCTCCTCTGCCCCCTCCTCTTCGCCCTCCCCCGCTCCCGCTTCCCTCCCTGGCCCCACTCCTCCGTCCACATCAGCACCGTCCACATCAGCACCATCCACGTCAGCACCGTCCACATCAGCACCGTCCACGTCAGCACCGGTGCCTGCCTCTCAGCAGAGCAGGTTATCAGCAGCCAATGGCACGCAGCAGCAGCAGGGAACCACACCAGGGTCTGGCAAAGCGGCTT